GTGGGCGTGTGAAGCCGGCGGCTTGCACTGACCTCATGTGCCGAGTGGGGAGGGCCGGAGATGGGGGTGCCTGGTTCTCGCCCCGCCCTGCCGGGCTGATTGCTCCAGAATTACTGGGGTGAAAGGCTCTTCGCTGGGACACCCTCTCCCAAGCACCCGGGTGGGGTGGATGCTGGTGTCTCCATTCCCCACCCTTCCAGGAGGCCCAGCTGAACCGGAGCAGAGGCCTTTGGGAGCGTGGCCGGGGCAAGGGAGGGACTGGGCAGGCAGCAGAGAGGGCGCTAGGAGCGGCTGCTGGGGCTGGCCTTTGTGTGGATGCTGGTGGGTTAGAGCAGGGTGCCTGGCTCAGGGGAAGGGGAGAAGAGGGGGTGGGTGTCTCTGGGCCTGGAGCAGGGAGAGCCGCTGGGGAGCGGCCAGACGTTCCCAGGGAGCCCAAGCGCGCTCTTCCTTTCCGGCAGCTGCACGCTGGGGCCCTGCCGCCGTGGTGAGTCTCCGCGTGGCGCTGTGCCCAGGTGAAGATGGGCCACTTGGTGGGTTGCCAGGGCCTGGGTGCCCGACGTTTGGAGCCCGCTCCCCGCTGGCCCGTTCCGCCTGGTGCACGATCTCCCCTCTCGGCTTTCCTGGTGAAACGGGGCAGGACGCTCCTGGATCCATATGGCTGGGAGTGATCCGGGCACCTACACTCGCCGCCCCCGGCCAGGGCTGTGCCCAGGTGAAGATGGGCCACTTGGTGGGTTGCCAGGGCCTGGGTGCCCGACGTTTGGAGCCCGCTCCCCGCTGGCCCGTTCCGCCTGGTGCACGATCTCCCCTCTCGGCTTTCCTGGTGAAACGGGGCAGGACGCTCCTGGATCCATATGGCTGGGAGTGATCCGGGCACCTACACTCGCCGCCCCCGGCCAGGGCTTCTTGCTCTGGGGTCACTGGCCAGGGGGAGGGCAGCGCCAGTGTAGGTGCTGCTGAGCTGGGCAGGGTGGGCAGCTGGCAGAGGACTGCGGCCTGAGATGGATGAGGGCGGGACGCCGGACTGGTGGGTCCTGGTGCCTGGAATTCTCTGCGAGGAGCGTGTCCGCGGGGAAGGGGCCAGCCAGCCGCCCCGGCCGAAGGGCACGTGTTCCCCAAGGCCCCCGGAGCGGGGCAGAGAGGAGGGGGCGAGATGCCAGCACAAAAGCCAGGGAGACCTGGCAGAGGACTGCGGCCTGAGATGGATGAGGGCGGGACGCCGGACTGGTGGGTCCTGGTGCCTGGAATTCTCTGCGAGGAGCGTGTCCGCGGGGAAGGGGCCAGCCAGCCGCCCCGGCCGAAGGGCACGTGTTCCCCAAGGCCCCCGGAGCGGGGCAGAGAGGAGGGGGCGAGATGCCAGCACAAAAGCCAGGGAGACGCGTGGCAGGACTTCCCTCGCCATGAGCCCCTGCTGGGACGTTGCGCGTGAGCCTGCGGCGTTCTGTGCCACCCGCCAGCCCTGAGCAGAGGGGGGC